CCCCCCGGGGATGGCGGGGCCCGCGGCGCGGAGCGGCTGAGCCCAGCCCCGGATCTGCCGGCGGCCCAGGATGGGCTCCGCCGTGGACCCCAAGGTCCAACAGGCCCTGCGGAAGAAGCCCCCGGAGCGGAGCCGCGAGGTAACCCCGGGTCTTCAGCGGGGACGAAACCCGAAGCCTCCTCGGGACTTGCGCCTCGCTCGCTAGAAGTTGGCAGCGAGCGCGAGCCCAACTTGCGGCGTTGCTTTATGTCCCCCAAGTGCTGACAGCGCCCCGGGGTGGGGCCGGGCTCCCCGCGACGGGCCGGGGATGGGGGCGGGGGGGTGTTTCTCCTGAGAGGTGGCTCGGGTCGGCGTGGCGCGGGGCACTGCGATCGGCAGCGGACAGCCGCGGGCACAGGGATCCCGGGAAGCAGGAACTTGCACGCCTGCTTCGCTGTAGTGCGAGTCGCAGTCGCCGGCTCCGGAACGACCCGTGCGTTTGGGATCGGCTTAAGAGTCCAGACGAGCGACGTCGCAGGAGGCTCCTTGCACCAGGCCGCCCGTGCGAGGTCTCTCTCGGCGAGTTTTCCGCTGGAAGTTGTGATTGGAGTTTGTTCGCTTACGTCCGCTTTTGTGCCTGGCTGTGATTTCCATGCGGGGAGGATAGAGGAGTGGTTTCGGGGGGTGGAAAAAGAAAAACTCTTCTCTTGGAGTTGCGTCTCTCTGAAGAGACGGGGGAACATCTGTTTGTTCTCTCTTGATTCTCTGGGGAAAGTGGAATATCCTGCTTGATCCTTTCTATAAGCTGATTATCAAAAGGCTACCTAATGAATACTGGCAGAGATTGCTGAGGGATGTGCTGAAGGAGGAAAGTAACCAAAAAAAAAAAAAAGAGTTAAAAGTTAAAACCCATCGTTAGCTTTTTTTAAAGTAACTTATGGACTGTCCCTTCTGCTCCAATACTAGTTTTGAGGAGAGAGATTTGGTTTCTCCCTAGTGTTTTTTTTCTCCTTCCTGGTGCTTGACTGAACGGTGAGGCCCTGTCTATAAGAGATGCTGCTTTTCCTTTCCTGCTTTTCTTGTTGCTTTAAAAAAAAAAAAATAAATAAAATCTTTTCTTTTACTTTAACTCTTTGCTGCTGTTTTGTTCTCTGCTGGTCTCCACTTACATATTCAAACATAGAGAAGCTTGCTGTCTCAGACATCTAACTCAAATGGCATTATTTAAGATCAATGAGCACATATGTCATGCTGTTCCATAATGCATTTTGCTTGTGGGCACATGTAGCCGTTGATGTCTGCTGAAAGGTGTAAATCTTTTTTTTGTTTGTTTGTTTGTTTTTTTGGCAGTACTGGGATCAGATATGTAGTGTTCACCCCGCTGAATTGTCGTAGAGTTCTCCAGTGTAATTAATTAAATAATTTTGAATAATTCTGTCCAAAAAACGTATGTTTAAAATGAACCTGGTAAATATTAATATTATTATTTTATTTGACAGTCATTCATATGAATGCATTAAGGCTCTTATTCTACTTTTCGATCCACATTCACTTCCCCATTGTAGTTGTGTGCCAGTAAGTTTGTCCAGGAGGCTTTGCTTCCAGAATCAGCTTAACTTCTTCACTTGTATTGCTAACAGTGTAGATCATTAAAATTGATTGAACAAAAAAACCAGCTCATATCTTGCTAGAGCTGGATCTTGCAAAGCTGGAGGTACATAATAATGGGGCCATTTATATGCCTAAAGTTAATCATGTGCTTAAGTCTTAGACACATGCAAGATTGTGACTCCTGATCTTTGCCTTTTCTTTATACCTCAGGAAGGAAAATTTAAAATCCATGAAGGTGGGGTTTTTTTTGGTGATGCAATGTATTTTGATTTTGAACTGTAGATATCTTTTCTTTTTTTTTTTTAAACCTAAGTATATAATTCCTTTAAAAAAAAAAAAGTGTAGAAGCATTTTCTTTAGTATTACTAGTGTACCCAGGACTGTGCTAGGTGCTGTAGAAACGAAGAGCAAGAAGCAGTCCAATTCCCAAAGACTTTACAATGAGTCAGTAGAGGTGTCAAGACAATTGTGGAGTACGGGGAAACAATGAGATGCTTATTGTCCAGCATTATAAGCAGTAATTATAATACAGTGACATTTCTCTGATTCACTTAGTCTGTAAAGTGCAGCTCTCTCCTGCCTTCTTCCCGACCTCAGCCTAACTGTTGTCAAGGTTGGAGTGGGATAAGGGTGGGGGGAGCTAAGCATTGGGTTTTATGTGATAAATTTAGAATTCACAGGACACTTGTATTAAAACATAGTCATTGAAAACAATTTACCATCATTTCTTTTCTTCCTTTCGACCTAATTTTGAAAAATCCAGTTGCAGAGTACTCAGGCAGATTTCAGTGGCAAGATCTGAACTTGATTTGCTTGCATATGGTTTCTTGTTTCATAACTATTGCTGATACAGAGGTCTCTCTGGAAAACTCAGTTTTGACAGGTAACTAATTTGCATGTCAGCTTTCACGCGTGGGTGACCCTGCTAGCCAAACAAACTAAGGTGGTTTTTAGCTAATTTGTTAAATTTGTTGTTGCCAAAATAGGTCTGGCATTGTATTTTCCAAATATAGATAAACGTATCTGAGAAACAGCGAGACTCAACTTTACAGACTGATATGACTGTGTAACGCCAAATCAAAATCTGTCCTGATGGGGCAGATTTTTGCGTTCAGAGAATCTGTGCTACAGCAAGTTTTCACTCATGTGGTCACATTCCAAAGCTTGTTAATTGTCTAATATGCATGATTTACACACTAGCATGTAGATACTTGATTCCTTTTCAGACAGCTCCTCCATACAGTCAATTTTAATTTCATTGTGGGGGGGGAGGGGGGAATACTCTTTGCTTTGGAATTATTGTGTTAGTGAGAATTTTGTTGAGCTAGCAAAAATTATTGCCGCCTTATACTGTGGTTGTTTTAGTACAGGTAGTCCTCAGACTTACGGTACAGTTGGTTCCTGAAAACTGTCTTAAATCAAAACGTTATACCTCGGAACCAATTTTCCCATAGGAAACAATGTTTTAAATAGGGGATTGGTTCTTGAACCAAGGCCTGATACCATATTTTCACCAAAAATAACCTAGAATTTTGTACTCAATCAATTATAGATGAGTAATATAGCCACATTAATGTATTTATATTGTAAATAGCAATCATATTGATTTGGAAGGACTTCTTTGAAGTGACTTAGCTGGACTTTTTGAAGGGCTCTTGGCTGGAGTTTCCTCTGGAGTCTTGGCTGCAGGTTTTTCTGGAGTTGTGTCTGCTTTCTTAAAGAAAGTGTCCAAGGAAGTTTGGACAGATGTTCTCCAGGGAGATGGGTAACGCAGCAAACTTGTTCACTGGCGTGGCGTCGGATCAAGCATTGTGAAGTCGAAACTGACGTCAGAAAGTTGAAACGGTGTCAATTTATAAATGTTGTGAGTGTGAAGCATTGGAACTCGAAACGTTGCAAGTCAAGGACTGCCTGTAGTGGTTTTTAATGCTAATTCTTTTTCTTAAATACTGATGGTGTGCAAGTGTACATATGCAGTGGACTGCTTTAGACTCCTGGCAAGAGACAGGCTGCTGCCTTAAGTCTTGTCTTGTGAAAAATCTTTTAAAGTATGGATAGTCGTAGATCTGCATTAGTAAAGATGGGAGATTATCTGGGATCTTATTTTATCCTGTTTTAACTAAGCTGGGAATTGTCAGAAGTGATCAGTCCTGGCGTGGTCATGGAGTGATGAGGCTTGAGTCTGAAAAGTGTGGGGCACAGTGGGCCAAATGCTCACCGGGGTGGTTTGTGATTGAACTGGCTGAGGTTCTTCGCCCTGGTGCTTGATAGTTTATTGGCAAACTCTTTGCTATAGACAAGTGCTTACTTAACAGTGTTTGAAATGCATGTGTGAAATGTTGACATTATGAAATGTGAGGTGTGCAAAAACACCTGAAGGAAAAATGTGCTGCTGTTCTTAAACTGTTGGCTGTATTTAACCATATTAAACGTGGGAATGTTTCACATGGAGATCACTACATTTTTACTAGTGGTAAAGATGTTTTTTGATGCATGTCCCTGTAGTGCCTTAGCTCACCAGTCTCATACATCACTGAATGTATTTTACATGTCACTAATAACCATTAGTCTGAGGATATTTAATTGAGAAATCATCAGACGGGGGGAATGGAAGACAAATGTCTGTGCTAGCCTGTACAGTCTTGCTTGCTAAAGGTTTCTTACTTAGTCTCAAAATCCCTTATCTGATCCGTACAAAGGCTGCAATGTTAGTGTAGTTGGGGAGTTGCTTAATAGGTAAAGATAAAGGCTCAGTGGCTGGCAGGAAAAATGACAAGTTAGATACAGAGTGATTTATGCTACCAGTTGTGCTGTTGCTTTCATGGTCTTCCTTTCACAATTGACTCTCTTCTCAGAGCAGCCTCTCTTCGTACAGATTTCTTGATGACTTTGCTCTTGCTACCATTCCTTTCCAGATAGGAGAGAGATTAACCTTTAATTTGTCTTTTGGAGGCTGACGGGTGTTTTCAGTCACAAACTTGCAAACATAAGCATATTTTGTTTTACACTCTTTGTACTATGTTATGTTTCATTATTGTTTGGAAATGTTAGTACTGTTTTTATTTGGCATTTTGAGCCCTCCCTACTCTGCTTTTAGTTTTTTTCTTAAGACAGTGGAAAGAAACAAGCTAACACTGTAACTTGCTCGATTGGTGTTCTTAGTACAGTCTCAGAGAGGAGGGTATTGGAATACTAAGTACTTATACATCAGAAATAGTTTTTTCATGAATCTAAGTAATGCACAGTGTACCCAGATACTACAATGATGGGCACTATAAAATGGCTCTAATAAATAAAATAAATGACTGCTGACAGCATAACAAAGGCGCTGTTGTACTGTAGCACAGCTGAGCCAAGCAGAAGAGAACATCTGCTTCTTGTTTCCAGAAACAACTGGTATTTTAAGGTGGCTTTTTCATGCTTCTATTAATTTTTCTCTAAGCTCAGTAGGTGAAACAAGGGATTATTTGATGTTAAAATCCATTTTTCCTCAGTGTGTCATGAGAAAGCTAACTAGCACACAGAGCACCTGACAGGGTGTATGTTAAA